CGGAGACGCGGCCCGCAACGCCGCGCTGCTCTACCAGATTTACGACCGCACCCACGCCCGGAACATGGTCGACGAGTTCCTGTCCCTGGAGTAACCCCTCGTGATTACCGTTGCCGAAATCAACATCGCGCCGGTCAAGTCCATGGCGTTGGTGCCGCTGGCACAGGCAACGCTGGACCTGGGCGGAATCCTGGACGACCGCCGGTTTTACCTGGTGAATGCCCAGGGCCGTCTGCTGACGCGCCGGCAGGTGGGCAAACTCGCGCAGTTGGTGACGTCATGGGATCCGAAAGCGGAGCGGTTGCGCATAGATTTCCCGGACGGCACGACGCTGGAAGGGAGACCGGAGCTGGACCGGCAGGTGTGGACGATCGTGTGGGGCCGACGGGTTCGCGCACGGGCGCTGATGGGCGATTGGATGCAAGCCATCAGCGAGTTCTCCGGCCAGCCGGCCACGCTGATGATGTCGGACCTGCCGTGCCAGGTGTTCGACGAGTTTCCGGTTTCGATCCTGTCCCGGGCGTCGGTGGAGCACCTGTCCGGCGAAATGGGGATGTCCCAGGACCAATGCCTGGCCACGGACCGGTTCCGACCGACCCTGCTGCTGGACGGCTGTGAGCAGCACCAGGAGGACGGTTGGATGAACCGCACCCTGTCTATCGGCGATGCCATCGTGCGCGTCCTGGCGCCCGACCCACGGTGCGCCATAGTCGACCAGGATCCCGACACCGGCGAAACCGATACCGAAGTGGTGAGATCGATACTTGGCTACCGTCCCAACCCCGCGGCCGCATACTTTGGCGTGTACGGCATTGTCGAGAAGCCCGGCGTAGTGCACGTCGGTAATGAGGTGAGCGTTGGTTAGGTAGCAATTCTTTTTGTATCAACCGCGCTGTTTCGAGAGGCGGCGTGCGTGCTAGGATAGCGGCACGCAGTAAGGTGGAGGCAACGAAATGTTGGATACTGCATCGAGCCGAGAAACAATCAGAGTTGCCCACAGAGACGGCTTGGGAGAGTACGATTACGCGCTCGAACTTACACTGCTTTACTACTTCGAATCCGGGCAGTGGGTAGGGGTCTGCGACGAACTGGGTACGTCTGCTTTCGCCGACAGCTTGGAACAAATGAAAACGGAGCTCCGAGATGCCGTGGCATTGCAATTGAACGAGATGGAACGAATCTCCGATATCCGCGAGTACCTTGGAAGCAACCAGGTGTCAACAACCCCGATTGACTTGCCTCGGCAGGCGGGTTTCGCTGTTGTATGAACGTGTCCGGTCGCGACCTCATGCGTCTATTGGAAGGCGACGGTTGGAATAGCGGAGGTCAGCGCAATCATGGTGTGTTCTACTACAAACAGTTTCCCGGCGAACAGCGTCCACGTTCAACGGTCATCCCCGACAAATCAACACCTTTGCCGGATAGAACGTTAGGCGCGATTTAGAGTGTGAAACAGACCGGCATTGGTCGCGTTGGTTTGCAAAGATTGATTGAAGCCGAGTGAACAGGCCAAGGACCCATTTAAGAAGGGCCCCGCCACAGAGCGGGGCCCTTTTGTATATTGGTTACCGTTGTCGGTATAGCGCGCTGGGATCAGTGCTGCACCAGCCCCTCTTCCATCATGGCCGCGATGGCGCCGTCGAACGCTTCGATGGTGAAGTCGATGTCGACCTCAGTGTGCGTGCCGGACAGAACGCCGCTGGTGCGGGACATCAGGTCCACTCCGCGCACCTGCAGGGCTTGGCGCAGGCTGCGCTGGATCTGCGCCGGCTGATTCTTCAGGCGGGAGGCGTCCATGCCGTCGATGCTGCTGGCCCCGAAGAACAGGTGGAAGGTTGACGATTCACCGTAGACGGTCGCGTTGACCTCGCGCCGGTCCACCACCTCGCGAAGACCGGCCCGAAGCCGTTCTGCCATCAGGTCAGCCTGGGCGTTGTACTCGCCGGTGGCGACCAGGCGCAACGCCGCGTTTCCAGACGCTGCTGCATAGGGGTTGGCGTTGAAAGTACCACCGTGAAGGACGCGCTCGTAGCGATCGTGGTGGCTGTCGCCCGTCTGGTGCATGACGGCCATGACCTCGTCGCGTCCGCCAACCGCGCCTCCGGGCAGGCCGCCGGTGATGATCTTCGCCATGGTGCAGAGGTCAGGGTCGACGCCCAGGCGTTCCTGCGCTCCGCCCGGCGCCCACCGGAACCCGGTGATCACTTCGTCCAGGATCATCACCACGCCGTGCTCCCGGGTCAAACGGCGCACGCCGTCGAGGAAGCCGTCGGGCAGCGGCACCGTGCCGTAAGAGGCCCCGGATGCCTCGGTGATTACGCCGGCGATGTTTTCGTCGCTGTTCAGCGCGTTTTCCAGCGCGGCGAGATCCGTTGGCAGCACGATAATCGAGTCGATGGTTCCCTGGGGAATGCCAATCGAAGCCGGCACGTCGAAGGGCGGCAGGTTGCCGGGCATTACATAATCGTGCCAGCCGTGGTAGTGGGACTCCCAGCGGATGATCTTCTCCTTGCCGGTGTGGGCGCGGGCGACCCGCATGGCCAGCATGGTGGCCTCGGCTCCGGACCCCACGAAGCGCACCTTGTCGACGCAGGGCATCAGGGTGCAGATGCGCTCGCCCCATTCCAGCATGGACTCGGTCGGCGCGCCGAAGTGGGAGCCGTCAGCCAGCACGCCCGAGAGGGCGGCAACCACCTCAGGATGCGCATGCCCCAGCAGGAGCGATGCCGACCCCATGCCGTAGTCGACGTACTCATTGCCGTCGATGTCCCACTTGCGCGGGCCGCTGCCGCGGGCGATGACGACCGGGAACGGATCGGAGGTGTAGCCGTCGTGCCCCGGGCTACCGGAAGGGAACCGGGCCTGGTAGCTCGGTTGCGTCTCCCGCGACCGAGGGTTCATGCGGATGTACTGTTCCTGGATGGTTTCAGCCATGTTAGTAACTCCTGTTGCGGTGTCGCGGGTCAGTTGTCTGCGGCGGCCATAGCCTCGGGTTGCCCCAGCGCGGCGCCGAATGCGTCTGACAGTTGGGCGCAGGCGGCGTCCACGGCCTGCCGACCCTTGTCGATGACATGGGGAAGGCCGAAGAATCCGTGGATAACGCCGTCATACCGGATCAGCGTGGTGGCGATGCCGGCGTCTTCAAGGGCGCCAGCGTAGGCTTCGCCCTCGTCGCGCAGCGGATCGAACTCCGCCGTGATCACCAGAGCCGGCGGCAGGTCCGGCGACAACCGGGCCCGGCCGGGCGATGCGAAGATGTTGTAACCGGACAGATCGGTATTGTCGATGTAATGGTCCCAGAACCAGCGCATGCTCGCGGTCTCCAGGAACATGCCCTGCCCGTTCACGTTGTACGAACGCGTATCGTAGGCGAAATCGGTGGCAGGATAGACCAGCAACTGGAAGGCGAGCGGCTGGGGGAAGTCGTCCTGCGCCAGGGCCACGGCCGCGGCGAGGTTGCCGCCGGCGCTGTCGCCTCCGACCGCGATGAGGTCGGCGCGGCTTCCCAGCGCGTTGGCATTCGCCATCGCCCACATGGTCGCCGTCAGGCAATCTTCAAAGGGCGTGGGGAACTTGTACTCGGGCGCGAGGCGATAGTCCACCGAGATCACCACGCAGTTGCCGCCGACGCAGAGCTCGCGCGCGGTCGCGTCGGCAGTTTCCACGTTGCCGATGACCCAACCCCCGCCGTGGTACCAGACCAGCGTGCCCCACGGCCCTTCGGTGGCGGGCGTGTAGATGCGGATCGGCACGTCGCCCGGCTCTTTCCCGTGCTCGTTCCTGATGACCAGGTCCTGAACCTTGCCTACTGCCGGTCCCTCCGGTCGTGGGCGGCTGTTCATTATTTCGCGGCACTCGTTCACGTCCATTTCCTGGAACGGCTTGAGACCCAGGGAGTCGAAGAGCTCCAGGACGTGGGCAGCCTGCGGATCCAACAGTTTGCGCATCGCCAACGGGTCACCCTCGTGGCGGCGGTGGTACTCCTCGGTCATGTCATCCACGGCGCCGCGCAGGAACCGGCAGGCGTCGTCCATTGCCACGCGGGCGGTATCCATGACGCTGGCCATGCTGAAGAAGCCGTGGATCATCCCGTCGTAGCGGTTGGATTCCGCCGGAACGCCCATTTCGTTCAGCAGCCGCGCGTAAGCCTCGCCTTCGTCGCGCAGCGGATCGTATTCCGCGGTGATGACCAAGGCCGGAGCCAGGTCGTCGACGGCGTCGAAATCGGGGCTGAGCTGCAACGGCGCGACCAGCGGGTCCTCCGCCTGGGCGGGGTCGGCCAGGTACTGGTCCCAGAACCAGATCATGCCAACGCGCTCCAGCCCGTACCCGGTGCCGTTGTCCTCGTAGGAACCGGTGTCGCATTTGGCGTCGGTGACCGGGTATACCAGCAGTTGGTGGCTGACGCGGAAGTCTCCGGTGTCCGCCGCTTTGATGTTCACCGCCGCCGCCAGGTTGCCGCCGGCGCTGTCGCCGCCCACCGCGACCACGCCGGGCACGCCGCCAATCTCGCCGGCGTGGTCGCTGGCCCACACGGTGGCGTAGTAACAGTCGTCAAAGGGCTCAGGGAACTTGGCTTCCGGAGAAAGGCGGTAGTCCACGGAAACGACCACGCACCGCGAACCGGCGCAAAGATTCCGAGCTGTACCGTCCGCCGATTCCAGGTTGCCCACAACCCAGCCGCCGCCGTGATACCAGACGAGCACCGGGAACGGCCCGTCGCCCTCCGGTGTGTAGATGCGCACTGGCACTTCCCCGGCGGGACCGGGAACGCTACGGTCCTGCACCTTGCCGACATCGGGTCCAGCTCCCCGGGCACGCTTCGCCGCGTTGGCCCGCGCTTCCTGGGGCGAGACGGTATGGTTGGGCGGCAAACCCAGAGCGCGGGTCGCGTCCATAACCTGTTGCGCTTGCGGATGCAGTGGCATATTCGGCCTCCACCTGAGTTGGGCTACTATAGTTAAGGCCGCCGGAACGCGTAGTTGACGTGATCCGGCGGCCCGATTGACGGGAGATCGTTGTTACGCGTTCCGGCCGGCGTAGTCTTCCCGGGCGCGGTCCAGTGCGCGACTGCGGCCGGCCATCAGGGACTCGTTTCTTTCGTAGGCCCACTGGTTGGAAGCCTTGGCCGCGTCGGCGCTGCCTTGGAAATGCGGCATGACGTGACGGGCCATCAGCTCGTAGCTGTGGAGCATATGCTCGCGGGCCGCCCAGTCCACGGTCTGGACCATGAAGCCGCCGAATCCTCCGCTCCGCTCCTCGAGACGCTTGATCCCTTCGATGCAATCGTCGGGTGTTCCGATGATCCAGGCGCCACGCTCGGCCAGTACGTCGATGATCTTGTCCGCCGGACCGTCCACGACCGGGGGCCGGCCCATGGTGTGCTCGAAGTATTCCCGCTGGTAGCGTCCGGCCCCGACGCGCGCCTGCTCGAAGGCTTCCTCGCGGGTGTCGGCCAAGTGGACCGGCAACACCAGTCGCCAGTCGAAACGGTCCACGGTCTGATTGTGCTCGGCGGCCGATTCCTCGCAGATGTCCCACAGTTCGTGCAGGTCGATGCCCTGGGGAGCCGCCGGGTCTCGCGGCGTGGTGATGGTCAGAACGGATGCGCCGTGCTTGCCGGCCAGGGCCACGCCGGAGGGTGTCTGCACCGATGCCACGGAGATCGGCATGTGAGGCGACTGGTAGGGCCGCAGTTGGAGCATTGCTTCGTTCAACTCGAACCAGTCGCTCTGGTGTGTGATCGGTTCCTTCTCGGTGAACAGTCGCATGATGACGCCCAGGGCTTCGTCCATGCGAAGGCGCTGCTTGGTGGGGTCAATGCCCATCATATAGGCGTCGCCGGGAAGCGCGCCGGGACCCACGCCCAGCATCACGCGTCCGCGCGTCATGTGGTCCAGTTGGGTCATCCAGTTGGCGACCATGAACGGGTGGTGATAAGGAAGGCTGACCACGCCGGTGCCGAGTTTGATGTGCTTGGTGCGGTCAGCGGCTACGCCAATGAAAATTTCCGGCGAGGAGATGATCTCCCAGCCGGCGCTGTGATGCTCGCCGATCCAGGCCTCGTCAAACCCCAGATAGTCCAGCCATTGCACCAGCTCGAGGTCGCGCTCAAGCGCCAGGGTCGGGTTTTCGCCGGCCCGATGGAATGGGCCCATAAATATGCCAAACTTCATGCGGTCGGGTAATGCCATTGGGGAGCCTCCTCTTCGTCCGCGGCCAGCGGATGCGAAACCAAGGGCCGGTGCGCGAACGCGACGCTAATCGCCGAGCCGGAGGCGCTTCGTTGAACCCTTGGGTTGAAAATGCTAGCCGCATTATATTGGCCGCCGCCGGCGGCGGCAAGCACGCAAGAACTCGCTTCAGGGCAATGGCATTTAGCGTATTTGGCATAATGGATGCCTCAGATTATTGAGAGGTCAAATGCTACATCCATCCAGAACCAAGAGTTTACGGGTCACTGCACCGCCACTATGCCTACATTTGTCGGATTCCAGCGCCCAAACCTTTCCGCATCGTCCTTATTTCCCTCACCCAGCGGTTTTCGGCGCTCTGGCCGGCGCTGAAACCCTTGTAGTACGTGTGTAATGCGATTGCCCTGGAACTCGCTTCAAATTCCTTGTTTTTCCCATGCACCAATATTATTACGTGCTCCCCAAGAATTTTCACGCTTTATGGGGCGCATTATGTCCAAGCGCAACATCTGGACTGGGGCTGTCGAGTTTTTTGGCCGGTCCAAACGATTCTCCACGTCATGGTATTTTGTTCCCACTGTTTTGGGAGTCATATTTCCGTTCCTCATATTTGCTGGTGCTTTTTTGATACCGGGCGGATGGTTGCCTGGAGATGGGCAACCGTGTCCCCGGTATACCAGCGCAGCGGACAAGGGACAGGGAACTGCGTTCACCATTTTTGACTGGCTGAAGTGCGGTCTGAAGGAGGCGAATCCAACGGCGCTGCCCTGCGGAATCTTGGTCTACTGATAGCGGGGTTTTATGCGCTAATCTTCGCGTTCTGGCGCGCTAAAATTGCTGATACCGAAAAAGAGCTGCAAAAACGGCAAAACGACTCGCTCCGAGACCCCCCAGCCTAATGTTCTGTTCGGTGCCAATTGAGACGGAGCAAATTTTGCTAACACAGTTTTTTTCTCGTTCGAATATCGCAGCGGCAAACTTTGGTTGGGGGTCAGCGGACGCTGCCAGTGCTGAAGAGCACCAAGATGGCGACGAAAGGCCGACCTACTGTAAAACTCGCAATTGACGGACCGCCGCCCCACAACTCTGTAGCCGGGTTTGGCTGAAACGGCGGCCCATGACAATCTCTGAGATGTTGTCTATCCCAACAGCGGCAGTCCCTCGTCTTCACGGACCGCGTTGATGATCTCCAGGACCCGCTGCTGTAGGGGCGGATAGGACAGCTCGAACTCCGTCAGCAGCCGGCTATTGTCCACCATATAATTCCCGGAATGCTCACGGCCGCCTTCGTTGTCGAAGGAGATCTGGGCGTCCGGCAGGTAGCCCCGCACCATTTCGGCAAGATCTCCCAGGCTGATGGGCGTGCCGCCGGAGTTGTACACCTGACTCTCGCTGCTATCCGCCAGGGACACCCGTACGAAAGCCTCGGCGATGTCCTCCACGTGAATCGGTAGTCGCATCATTTCCTGGTACGGGAAGCTGACGGGCTCGCCGCGGGACGGCAGGGTTACACAGCGCACGTGGTCCACGGAGCCGCGCACTTTGTCCGGGCCGGTGACGTTGGCCGGACGAATGCCGGTGATGGACATACCGTAGTTCTCGTTGAACATCTTGGCCTGGAACTCGTTGAAGATCTTGTGCACCGCGTACTGGCTGGTGCCATGGGTCGCGTCGTCCTCGTTGGCATCACGGTCGCCGAAATTGGACTGCTGTCCGCTCACGGCCACGGAGCTGGCGTAGACGATGCGGTTCACGCCCAGCAGGCGGCCCGCTTCGAAGCAGTTGTCCATGCCGAGGATGTTCAGGCGCATCTGGTGGTGCGGGTTGCCTTCGCCGCCGCCCAGCAGGTAGGCCAGGTTGATGATGCGGTCGGGCTGCGATTCGACGATGGCGCGGGTGACCTGTTCGAAGTCGGTGATGTCCACCCTCGAACTGCGCACCACGCCGGCATCCACGCCGGGAATGTCGGGCAGCGGGTTGATGTCGGTGGCGTACACGTCCTCGCCGCGCTCCACCAGCTTGCGGACCACGCGGGGTCCGATGAAACCGGAAGCTCCCAAGACCAATACCGTCATGTCTGCACCTCCAGATGCGTGATCGTCAAAACTGATTTGGAACTGTTATGGCAGTCGGCGACCGGGATCGTCTCGACCGACGACGCCGACAGGTCACCGGCGGACGGCGACGAAAAACAGCCGCCGGAATGGATACAGGGTGACTCCGTCCGGCCGTTTCGGATATTCAAGGTTCAACCGACTCCGGTATTCTTCCAGGTAGGATTCCCGCTCCCCGTCTTCGAGGCCATTGAGGATTGGGCGGAGCCCCGTGCCGGTGACCCATTCGAGCACGGCGTCATCGCCGGTCAGTACGTGCTGGTATTCCGTGGTCCAGACATCCAGGTGTCCCGCTTCGGGAGCCAGCAGATCATAGTAGAAGTCGGGATCCTGGACCCACCGGTTGCCGACTGCGGAGCGCAGTTCGGCGGAGCCAACAGGTTGCCCGCCCGCGCCGCCGTTTGCCAGGGTTTCCCGCATGATCTGGTGCGACCGCATGTCCCAGCTCAGGGGAGCCTGGATCGCCAGGCAACCGCCCGGCGGCAACGTATTCCACAGGCGCGGCACCAACTCGTGATGGTCGGGTACCCACTGGATAACGGCGTTGGAGAAGAACACCGACGGGGTTTGTGCCGGACGCCAGCCGGCGAGATCTCCCTCTTCCCACCGCACCCGCCCCGGTACCATGCCGTCACCGGACGCCGCAGCCTGGGCCAGCATCTCCGGGGAATTGTCCATTCCAATGACGTTGGCGTCGTGCCAGCGGTCGGCGAGCAATCGTGTCACGTTGCCGCTGCCGCAACCCAGGTCGTAGATCACCCGGGGATTCTCCAACGGGATGCGCCCCATCAGGTCCAGGGCGGGACGGAGGCGGTGATCGGCGAATTTCAGATACTGGCCCGGGTCCCAGGATTCTCCGGCCAGATCGCGTTGGTGGGGCGTTGTTTGTGTCATCTCGGATCGTGCGCTCCCGGCTGTCTCTCGGAATGTGCGGCGAGTATAGGCACGGGAGAATCGACCGTCAACCGAGGATGGGCCGCCGTAGTCCGCGCTGGCCGCGCCGGCTTCATCGGCCCTCCAGTGCCACGAGCCTGCCGTCCGTCGTGGGTAGATACAGCGTCCGGCCGGACACTGATGGCGCGGCGGACAGCGGGTAGTCGCCCATGTCGTGCAGCCACAGTGCCGCGCCGGTGCCGGCGTTCCAAACCGTGGAGCTGGCCGTCGGCGGTGCCGAGCACCAACGTATCACCCGACACCAACGGTTCCGCGACCACCTCGGCGTCCATTTGTGCTGCCCAAACCACCGATCCCGACGAGCCGTCGAATGCCGTCACCCGGGATGCTTCATTGACCACGAACAGGTTTCCGCTGGCATAGGCAGGGCTGTATTTGACCTTGCCGCGCGCCGAGCCTACCCACAGGGTGCCGGTCTGCCGCGGCGGGTCGGATCGCAGACGCCAGGCGAAAAAGTTGATCTTGGCCACGTAGGCAAATCGGCTGAACGGCCAGCTCACGGCCTCAGGGTCCACCGCCCAGACCGCGCCGCGATTGGTAACGAAGTAGGCGCGGCCATCGGCGATAACGGGCCCTCCCGCCACCGGTGTTCCGGAGTAGAAAACCAGGCGGCGGCGTCCGGTGTTGGGATCCACCGTTATGAAGCGCTCTCCCAGGGATGTTGCGGCCACCACCGTGCCATCCGACGCCGGGTGGCCGACCACCCAGCCATTGGCGTCAGCAGACCATCGGAATTGCCCGTTGCTCGCGTCCAGCGCTTCCAACGCCCCGTTGGTCGACCCGATGTACACCGTTCCGTCTACCACGATGGGCGAGCCAAGCACGATGTTTCCCAGATCGTGCTGCCAGCGCAGTGCACCGGTGTCTCGGTCCAGCGCCAGGACGCGATGGTCCCTCGTACCCAGAAACACGAGATCCCCCGCGACCGCCGGCGCGCTGTCCGAGGGCGAACCGAGGTCGTACGTCCAGAGAGTTTCGCTGCTTTCGGCATCCGCGGAGATCGCGAGGCCGTCGTCGGTGGCGAAGAACAACCGGCCTCCCGACACCGCTGGAGTGCCCAGGACCGTGCCCGGAGTGGCAATCTCCCACCGAACGGAGAACGGCGGAGCTGTGGCCGAGCCCGGCGACCATGCCGTGCCGCCCGTGTCCCTCCGCACCGAGGCCCAATCGTGAGGCTGTGCTGACGAGCTTTGCGAGGAAATCGCCTGGGACGGCGGCGCGAGCAGCGGTGTCAGCTGAAATGCTTGAACCACCCACAGTGCCAGGAGGGCCAGAACAATCAGCCCGATGACCAGCCATATCCGGACATCACGAAACCGCCAGACTCGTCGGCTGACGGTTTCGTAGGGCCGCATTGGCCGACGCACCGCGCGCGCTATCTCTGTAACCTGGTGGCGGTTAGGTTCGTCCGCGCAGTTTGGGATCCAAGACGTCGCGGATGGAGTCGCCGAACAGGTTGAACGCCAGCACCGTGATGGTGATGGCCAACCCGGGGAACATTACCATCCACCAGCGGGGGAACAGGCCGGCCGACACGGTGCCGCCGAGCATGTTGCCCCAGGTGGCGGTGGGCAAAGGCACGCCCACTCCCAGGAAACCGAGGGACGCCTCGAGGATGATCACCGAACCGAGGTGTGCGGTGGCCAACACCAGCCAAGGAGCCATGCACTGGGGAGCGATGTGTCTAACCATGACGCGAGTACCCGAAGCCCCGATGGCCTGGGCCGCGTCGACATAGGCATTTTCTTTCACGCTCAGGGTCACGGAGCGCACCACCCTCACCGATAACGGAACGCGCGTGACGCTGATTGCCACGATCACTGTCCACACGCCGGCCCCCATCGCCAGCACCAGCAGCATTGCGAGGATCAAGCGTCGGGAACGACATCAGCAGCTCAAGGAACCGCTGGCTGTACATGTCGAATCTGCCCCCGATGTACCCGGTTGCGACGCCCCAGGCCGCGCCCAGGATGTCGCCGACCATAACGGCCACGAAGGCTACGAACAGCGAAACACGGGCCCCGTGGATGATTCGGCTATACAGATCCCGTCCAATGTCATCGGTCCCCATCCAGTGGTCGGCGGTGGGAGCCTCCCGCAATGAACCGAAATCGGCGTCCAATATGGGGTCATGGGTGGCGACGACGGGAGCGAATAGGGCGACCGAGAGGATGACGATAATCAGGACGCCGCTGATCGCTCCGACGGGGTTGCGTTGGGAAAAATGGACTATGCGCGTCAGCCAGCCTTCACGGCGAGGCTCGGCCTGCTGGCCGAGTGCTGCTCCGGTAGATGCGGAGGTTGATTGGTCTGCCTGTGCCACGAATATGCTCCTGAGCGTGCTTCGGGATCAGCTGTAACGGATGCGCGGGTCAATCCAGGCGTAAGAGATGTCCACCAACAGGTTGGTAACCACGAATATGATCCCGTAGAGCAGAACCAGGTTCTGGATGACAACGTAGTCCCGTTCCAGGAACGCGAACACCAGGGTTCGGCCCAGGCCGGGAACTCCGAAAGCCTGCTCGACCGCCACGGATCCGCCGATCAGAAAACCGAGCAACACGCCCGACAGCGTGATCACCGGCATGATGGCGTTGCGGAGGGCGTGCCGGGCGATAACCATCCGCTCGGCCAGCCCCTTGGCTCGGGCCGTCCGAATGTAGTCTTCGTGGATGGTCTCTAGGAGGGCGGACCTGGCCATGCGAGAGACATAGGCGGCTTGGCCGATGCCCAGCACCAGCGCCGGACCCCAGATGATCTGGAAGTTTTGCCAGGGATTCTCCCAGATATTGATCACCTGCAGCGGAGCTTTCCACTGGAACGTTAACACGAGCGCCAGAACGATCAACGTGCCCAACCAGAAGTTGGGTATCGCCAGGAACAGGATGGAAAAGAAGCGCCCGGCGTAGTCCGCGGCGCTGTTCCGTTTCATCGCCGCGATGATTCCAACGGGCAACCCGATCACCCACGACAATAACACCGAGACGATCGCGATCTCCAGGGTGATCGGACCGCGACTCTTTATCAGGTCCATGACCGAACTGGACCGCCAGAACGACTGGCCCAGCTTCAGCGTGACGATGTCCTGAAGCCAGTCCACGTACTGCATGTGGATCGGTTTGTCGAGGCCCAGGCTCGCGATGATGCGGGTCCGGTCTTCCTCGCTCAGTTGTAGCGTACCCTCCTCACCGAACATTACCGTGAGAACGTCGCCGGGCAGGATGCGCATCACGAGGAAGATGATGATGGTCAGCCCGATCAACGCGGGGATGGCCAACAACACTCGGCGAAGGATGTACTTGTGCATCGACTTTGGCCTTCGAGACGTGCCGGGGGCTGGATCTGCTTCCAGAGGCTGCCGGGGCGGGTGTCATGCCGCCCCGGCGGGACAAGGGGTTCCTGGGTTACTGGGCCTGGCACTCGCCGTCCAGCCAGACCGTGTCCATGCGGTCCAGGTTGTGGACGAGGGCGCCGTTCTTCCCCTCGATGCCGTGGACGCACGTGCGCCACGCGGCGAGGGTCCGGTTGTACCAGAACTCGATGGTCGGCGGGTCGTTGTCCAGGATACGCGCCGCTTGCTGCACCAGTTCGTACCGCTTGTCGGCATCAGGCTCCACGTCCACCTGGTCCATGATGGCGTCGAATTCTGCGTTGCAATAGTTGGAATGGTTCTCACCGCCGCCGCACCGGTACCAGCTGTTGAGGTAGGCCGACGGGTCGATGAAGGGCGCGGCGATGGCCCCAACGGTGACATCGAAGTTGCGGTTGGCCAATTCTTCGAACCACACGGCGAAGGGCGCGGCGCGCAGTTCGGACTTGATCCCCAGGATCCGCTGGAACTCGAGCTGGGCAACCTGGGCGGCCGCTTCCCGGAAGGGACCGGCGCGCCAGAGCAGGTCGACGTTCTGGATGCCGTCAGCGTATCCCGCCTCTTCCATCAGCCGCTTGGCTTCGGCTTCGGCCGCCGGGCGGTCGAAGATCAGGCGCGCGTCAACTTCATCCTGCGGTAGTTGGAAAGCCTGCTCGGGGAAGGTCCAGCCGGTGCCGCCCTTGTAGCCAAAAACCATTCGCCGCCGACTTCGTGCAGGGCGTCGCGGTCAATCGCGAGCCACATCGCCCGCCGCACCCGGGGGTCGTTCCAGGGCTCGCGGTCCGTGTTGAACCAGATGGCGGAGTAGGAGTAGGACGAGAAAGGCTGACCCACGAACTGTCCGCTGAATCTGTCGTCGTTCTGCATCAGCTCGTATGCCGCCGGGTCCACGGTCTGGGCGAAGTCGACGTTGCCGGCCAGCAACGCCGCCGAGCGGTTGGTGGGGGATCCCAGCGGGAAGGTCCAGACCTCATCAAGGTACGGCAGTCCCTCGTTCCAATAGTCCGGGAACCGCTCGTTCTTCCAGACCTCGCCTTCCTGGTGGTCCAGGAACCGGAAAGCTCCGGTGCCGGGGGCGTTTTGGCCGTTGAGCTTGAGGTCGTAGCTGTTCGCCTCAAGGAAGGACTTGGGGAAAACGCCGTGCCACTCCAGGGCGAAGGCATTCAGCCCGTAGTTCAACGGCGGGACCTTGCTGAACGTGAACTGTACCGTCTGAGGGTCAACCACGTCCACTGACGGGCCGAACGGGTCGTAGAGACCCTTGCGGGCGCTCACCACGCCGGCCGGAGGATCCAGGACGCGGGTCCAAGACGCGGCCACGTCGTCGGCGTTCATGATCGTGCCGTCGTGGAACATGACGCCTTCCCGCAGGGGGAAGGTCCAAACCGACCCGTCGTCGGAAACTTCCCACGTGGTCGCCAAGTCGGCGATGATGGTCTTGCCGGCATCCAGGGGGTTGTAGCGCAGCAAACCATTTAACAGCATCATCTGCTTGAAGGAGTTGGAAACGCTGGAAACCTGCATCAGGTCGTAGTGCGAAGGGTCTCCATACCCGCCGCGCCGCAGGATGCCTCCGTACTCCGCGTCGGGATAGGCGTCCTTCGTCACCGCGTTTTCCACCACTTCGGTGGGAAGCGACGCCGGCAACGGTGTGGGCGTGGCTTCGGGTTCGGCCGCGGTGGGTTGCTGCACGGGTTGGCTTCCCGCGTCGGACGAGCCTGCCTGGCTGCCTGTGGGCGCGGGCTCTTCGGCGCCGCCGCACGCAATCGCAGCCAGCATTGAAACGACCAGCAAGGCGGCAATCACCGAGATCGGCGACAAAACATAACGACGCTGCATTCGTGAACTCCTGTGTTTGAATTCTTTCGTGGGAACGCGTGTCGGCCGTTGCGCCTGACGGCGCGCATTCAAATACTGAAGATCAAAGAGTATGCTCAACAACAATAATATCAAGATTCGACGATGATCACTTCAGTAAATATCCCATCCAGTAAAGCTTCACGGAGTTTATGGTTTACTATCATTGATGTCAATTTTCAACGTTCTGTTCAATCATTCACACCGTTGGGACGGCTGCCGGGCGGTCGTATGCTATACTTCCGCCGTTGCCCGATATGACCTGATTCGTGCGGAGTCGCCCCATGGTTTCGCCCCTAGCCGCTACGCCCAATCCGTTCCGTGGAGTGGTGGTCAACACCGCTGAACTGCCAATCGATCCCGATGAATTCGCCACGCGATTGGACGCCTCCATAGCAGAGTGGCGGGACGCGGGTTACGAGGTGGGCTGGGTGGACATCCCCATCGGATTGGCTTCACACGTCCCCATCGCCGTACAGCGCGGATTTGGCTACCACCACGCGGACGGCGACGGTATTACGGCGACCCTGACCCTCGTACCCGGTTCGTTCATCCCGTCATACGCGACCCACTACGTGGGGGCCGGAGGCGTGGTGGTCAACGACCGGAACGAATTGCTGGTGGTCTGTGAACGCTACCGCATCGACAATCGCCCTCCCTTCTACAAGCTTCCCGGAGGAGCCCTGGAGCCTGGCGAGAACATCGTCGATTCCATCGTCCGCGAGGTCTTGGAGGAGACCGGAATCGAGGCTGAATTCCAGGCGCTGGCCTGCTTCCGCCACTGGCACGGATACCGTTACGGCAAGTCGGACATCTACTTCGTCTGCCGCCTGAAAGCGCTGACCCAGCAGATCAAGATGGGCGAAACGGAGATCGAGGAATGCCTCTGGATGCCCGTCAACGATTTCATGGCAGACGACGACATCAGCCCCTTTTAACAAGGGCATCGTTCGCTCCGCCCTGGAGAGTGGCGGCGTCATGCCGATTGACATGCCCGGTATGCCCCATGACCCCACCCGCGAATACTTCCTGCCCAATTTGCTTGAGCAATAGAAACCGAGGCAAGTAAAAACCGCGGCAATCAGAACGCCTCGGTAGCGCGCTGACCCAGGCGCGACCTGACATCGGTTCCCCGTCGCTTCACTGTCAATCCCCTGGAGGAGTCCCATGACCACCACAGCAAAGCCCAATCAACAATACCGCGTCATCGGCACCCGTCCGGTCCGCCACGACGGCGTGGACAAGGTTACCGGCGCCGCTCGCTACGGCGCTGACATCAACCTGCCCGGCATGTTATACGCCCGGGTGTTGCGCAGCCCGCATTCCCACGCGCGCATCCGCAGTATCGACACCAGCAAAGCCGAGGCCCTGCCCGGCGTGGTCGCGGTGGTTACTGCGGCGGACTTTCCCATCATTGACGACCGGCTCCTGGACTTCGCGGAAGTGCAGGGCAACGCTCGCATGATCGCCGAGAACCTGATGGCGAAGGACAAAGCCCTGTACGCCGGCCATGCGGTGGCCGCCGTTTGCGCGACTAGCGGGCATATCGCCCAGGAAGCGCTGCTACTGGTGGAGGTCGATTACGAGGTTCTGCCCACGGTGCTCACCTGGCGCGAGGCGATGGCCGAAGACGCCACGCTGATCCACGACGACATGACCACCTACTTCCGGCAGGAGCGTTTTGCCCGCGGCGACGATACCGGCGTCAAGAGCAACGTGGCCGGCCACATCCAGCACAAGGTCGGCGACATTGAGCAAGGGTTCAGTGAAGCCGACATTGTGATCGAGCGCGAGTTCGAAACCCAGACCGTTCACCAGGGTTATATCGAGCCCCACGTTTCCACCGCCACGTGGTCGGCCGACGGCCGCGTGACCGTCTGGACCAGCACCCAGGGGCTGTTCAATATCCGGGCCCAGACCGCCGCCATCATCGGCGTGCCAGAGTCGCAGGTCCGAGTGATCCCCATGGAAATCGGCGGCGGGTTTGGCGCGAAGGGGATCACGTATCTCGACCCGGTTGCCGCCGCGCTGGCCCGCAAAGCCGGACGGCCGGTCAAGGTGACCATGGACCGTACCGAGGTGTTCGTCGGCAGCGGCCCCGCTTCGGCCACCTTCATGCGTTGCAAGATGGGCGTCAAGAACGACGGCACCATGGTTGCCGGACAGCTCTACATGATTTACGAGGCGGGTGCGTACCCCGGCTCGCCGGTGGGCGGCGGCGCGCTGACCGGGTTCGGTCCTTACAAGATTGATCACATGCTGGTGGACGGCCTGGACGTCGTCTGCAACAAGCAGAAGGTCCAGGCATACCGAGCTCCCGGCCAGCCCCAGGTCGCCTTCGCTGTGGAGGCGGTGGTGGACGAACTGGCCGATTTGCTGGGCATGGACCCGATTGAGTTGCGCCTCCGGAACGCCGTCCAGGAAGGCGACCGAATGCCCAACGGCGTGCCGCACCGGGTGTTCGGCTGTCGTGAAATGGAAGAGGCGATGGTCAACAGCGACCACAACCAAGCGCCGCTGGACGGGCCCAACCGGGGTCGCGGCGTCGCGGTCGGATTCCGCTGGCAAGCCGGACAGGCATCGTCAGCCACCATCAACGTGAACGCTGACGGTACGCTGAACCTGATCACCGGCTCGGTGGACATCGGCGGCACGCGTACCGCGGTGGCCATGCAGGTCGCCGAGGCCCTGGGTATCGAAGTCGACCAGATTGCGCCGACGGTGGTGGACACCGACACCGTGGGATGGACCGCTTCCACCGGCGGGAGCCGCATCGCCTTCGATACCGGCCTGGCCGCCATCTCCGCCGCCGAGGATCTGCGCGACCAGATGGCGCAGCGTTGCGCGCTGGTCTGGGAGGTCGAGCCCAACGAGGTGGAGTTCGCCGACGGGGTGTTCACCTGCACGCGCACCGAGGAACGTATGACCATCGCCGAGGCTGCCGGTCGCATGATGCGCACCGGCGGCCCGCTGACCGCCTCCGCGTCGGCGACCTCAACCGGCGTTGGGCCCGTTTTCGCCGGCAACATCATCGACGTGGAGGTTGATCCCGACACCGGCAAGGTGGACATCCTGCGGTGCACGGCGTTCATCGACTCCGGGACTTCCGTGCATCCCAGCTACGTCGAGGGCCAGATGCAGGGCGGCACCGTGCAGGGGCTCGGCTGGGCGCTGACGGAAGATTACAACTACGCGGATGACGGCCGGATGCTCAACTCCAGCTTCCTCGACTACCGCATGCCGACGGCGTTGGACCTGCCCATGATCGACACCGTGGTGGTCGAAGTTCCCAACCCTCGCCATCCTTACGGACTGCGTGGGGTCGGCGAGGCTCCGATCATTCCCCCTCTCGCCGCGTTGCACAACGCGATCTACCACGCGACCGGCGTGCGAGTGAACAAGTTGCCGGTATCGCCCACCGTTCTGTTGGAGGCTATGCAGGACGCTGCCGCCCAGTAGGCAGCGTCGGCAGCGCTCGAATCAAAGAGGGGCCGGTATGCAACCGGCCCCTCTTGTTTGTGGTCCCTAATGCTTGTGGATTGCCAGCAGTCCTACCGTTCGCGCGGGGTCAGAAACTCGCTCAACATGACAAGGTTGGCCTGGAGCTCCGGAGCCAACGTGGTCCCACCGCTAGCCAGCAGCAACAACAGGCGCACCTGGGCCGCCAGATCCGCCGCGAGCTTGCGCTTGGCCTCTTCCACCGTGTCCGCAGATACCGGGACCCGCAGACCGTTCAGGGGCAGCGCGGCGCGCGATTCGCCGGCCCAATACTGATCGAGGCTGTCGATGATGACCACCGGAATGTCCTTGGAAACGACGAAAGGCGCTTCCCGTGGACTATCATCGGCGGTGATAACATCGGCAAAGGCCCGTGTCACGTCACTGTGATTGATGTGGAACGTCGCGGCGTTGGGTTGGCTCGTCGACGTTCGGCTCCAACCCCACTCCTCGGGCAGAGCGGTGTTGTGGTTTGGCATGACGCTGATGGGCAGGGAAATATCTTCCGCCAACGGCCTTCCGTCGCCGGTGTCATCCGCCGGATCTCTCAACCCGTAACGGGGTTCCGCCGCGTCGTCCTGTGGTTCTGATGTGGTCACTTCACCCTCCCCGGTCAGTGAGCGTGACCGTCCGTCTCGATCTCCCAGGCGGCGTACACCTGCTCGGGCAGGGGGATCGGACCCACGGCTTCCTCGTACTCGCGGACGTGCTTCGCCGAAAGGACCGCGATGGCTTTCATCATCTGGGGGCTGACCTTGATCCGCGCCCGCAGGATGGGTTCGCGCTCTTCGACCTGCTCGCCGAAGAACAGCACCGCCGAGTACAGGCTGCTGAAGATGTGGAAGGAGTCGCTGTAGAAGGTGATGGGGTCCAGCGAGCTGGGCGCTTCCACCGGCGCCGCGGCGGGAGCCGGCGCGGTGTTCACGCTCAACGCCGGTATGTCGCCGGGGTTGACGTAACTATCCTCGTGGGGCGGCTGGTCCCCGGGCGGCACGTAAGGACGTTGGATGATTGGCATGGTACCTCCGTCCCTGTCCGCGGCAAGAACGCGGCAGGTCGATGCAACGATTGTCGGCCATTATAGCGAGTCTGGGTCGGGGTTGCCGGCGGTCAGCTGTCCGGTTGGGACAGGCCATCGACGAACTCAAGCCCGGGGAGTTTGGCCAGCTCCTGCGGAGGCATTTTCACCTTGGCGGACCGGCTCCCCGCTCCCAGGATGATGTAGTCCATCTCCAGCAGGCGCTGGTCGGCGTAGATGGTGACGCCATCCGGCAGCGCCAGAACGGTCACCCCGCCAATCATCATGCCGGTCAACTCCTGGGTTTCCTCCGCGCTGGCAAACGAGGCCCGGGACACACCCATCAGGTGGCGCACCCGCCGGTTCACGTCCAGGCGGTCGCAGGCGCGCACGATGCACGCTGCATGAGCCGCGGCGCCGCGCTTGCTGGCAACGATGATGGTGTTGGCGGAATGGGGCAGGTCGTAGCCGTACTGGGCGCAGAAGTCCGCCGTGTCCCCGTACTGCGGGTCGATGGAGATCCATTCCCAGTCGACGATCGCCAGGTCGTCCAGGGCGGACCGCACGCGAGTTTCCAGGGTCTTGCTGTCGTCGGGCGTTGTCATTTCAGCTATGCGAAACTCAACGTGGCGTCGGACAGGGACACGAGTTCGTCGCGCTGGTTGACGCCCCGAATACGGCACTGGACCTTGCGCTGTCCGTACAGGTTGCCGCCGGTTCCGGTCACTTCGGCCGTGAATGTCACCACGTCGCCGGCGCGGAACGGGGTGATGGCCCGCATCTCCAGGGTTCCACCGTTGTAAAGGGCTTCCGGCGGGACATTGAGTCCGATGAAGCGGTCCACGTAGGACATGGTCGCTGGTCCGGCGTTCACCGCGCCGCCGAATATGTTCTGTCGGGCGAATTCCTCATCCGTGTGGATGTTGCTTTCGCTGGGGCGCCCCGCGAGTCGATGGGCGTTTTTGCGGAGAATGTTCTCCGTCGTCTCACAGACCGCAAGGGTGCGGGGCAGGGGAGTTCCGACATGCGCCTCCGCCCAGGTTAGGAACTGCGCCGCGTCCGGCGCGGCTGTCGTGTCGGCGGCGGGAGCTGCGCCCACGGTCGCTTCCGGAACCGAGCGCTGCCCGGCCGAGTATTCGAAGATGCAGGTGTAGTCGTAGCGGGCGACAACTGCGCCGGCTTCGTCAAAGGCGGAGACGCGGAACGTCACGAATTTGCTGCCCCGGCGCTCGTATTTCTGGTACACGCGGCGGGTGCCGGTGAGGGTTTCGCCGGACCGTACCGGCCGGTACCAGCGCATCTCGCACTTGGCGAACGGGGTCTGACGGCGGTTGGCTTGCGAACGCTCCTGCGCCACGAAACCGTTCGCCTCGGCAATCTCGTCCCGCAGCAACGGCGCGTAGGTCAACGCCATGGTCGGCATGGCGATCGGAGGGCTGGATTCCTGCCCGAGGGCCGGCATCGAGTATTTTGGGTCGGGATTCTGGGCGCATGCCGCGTATTCGGCGATGTCTTCGGCCGATAGCGTCACGCGCGTTTCCGCTCCGGCCTGGCCGACGCGCACGGCGTCGTAGGTCCACAGGCGCTCGGCGGTAGCATTCGGTTGGGTCATGGTAGCTGCCTCCTGGAAACTGCGGGGATTATAACCCCCCGAGCGGGCAGTCCAAACGGCTGAACGTGCGCGGCGTCCGTCTAATCGAGCTTTCGCCCCACGAACAAATTGCCCCCGAAACCGCCTGCGTACCCGTCGGTTTGCAAGTACCTGGGGTCCAGCCCGGCCTTGGTCAGCGTGTCCAGCCACAGGGACTTGGGAAAAAGGCCGCTAGTATGACGGTCCACCTCGACCCTCATCTCGCCGTCGCGGGTGATTATGAACACAAAAACCGACTCAACGGTGGTTGCCTCCGGCGAGGGCTGGGCGACATATTCGATGAACGTCACGTTCTTGTCTTCTGCTTCGCGCGTCCAGTCCACCACCCGCGATCCGACGAACGTCTCCCGCAGGCAGTCGGGCGCCAGCAGGACCAGTCCGCCCGGCTCCAGATGCACGGCGGCGGTTTCTATGGCCGCCCGCAGGTCCTCCCTGGTGACCATGTAGTTCACCGCATCATGAATGGTGACCACGTCGAAGGTGCGCCCCAGGCGGATGGTGCGCATATCTCCCAGATGGTGGGTGGTGGTTGGGTTCAGGCCCCGGGAGATTTCCAGCATCTGCGGGGACACGTCCACGGCTTCCGTGGTGAAATGGCGGGTGAAGTGAGACAGCAGGTGCCCGCCGCCGCATCCCAGATCCAACAACCTGGCTCTGGGGTCCCACGCCGGCTGATTTCCCGTCCACCCGAACTCCGACCAGATCAGATCGCGCCACTCCGCCGCCTCGACCGTGTATTCCTGGGGCGGACTGATGATCGGCCAAAGGTGGGCAAGGTCGTGGTAGAGGCGCAACGTCACGGAGAGTTCAGGCTGCTTGCGCGTCGACGCCGAACGTGTCGACGTACAGGTACTCTCGGATTTTCCCCAGGGTAGATCCCGACGCCTGCGGGTTGTTGTACAGCCACCGTTCCAGGTTGCTGATGACAACGCCGGGCTCCAACTCCACCGCGGGACGGCCCAAACGCTCCCACCTTGCGATCATGCGCGGAGCGTCGGCCGGAGCCGCAGAGTTCGTGTTGGCCAATACCGGAGAATGGGTGTTCATAGTTCGACCTCATGTTCTGATTACGAACAATTGTACGGTCTGAAACCATTTGGCGCAATAGCAAGAGGGCGGCGCTACCGGCGAAAATTACTCGGCCAGCAGATCGTTTAGCACCGACTCGATCAGGTCAACCCCGCGGGCTCCCGCGCTGATGCGGGCGATCCGGCCCTGCTTGTCGATGAACACGTAGCTCGGTACTCCGCGGATGTCATACGCACCGGCCAGTTTCGCGCGTTCGTCATATACATTTGGAAAAGTGAGCTGGTTGCGCTCCACGAATTCAACCGTTGCCGCCTCGGTGGTGTTGAACTGCGAAACTCCAACCACGTCGATACCTGCGGCATCCAGTTGTTCCCGGTAGAGGGATGCTACGACGGGCAACTCCCGTCCACAGTGTGGTCACCAGGGCGCCCAGAAAGCCAGAAGGGTTGGCGAACCGTAGCCGTCCGCCAGCGAAAATTCGGACCCGTCCAGCATTTGAGCGTTGAACGGTATTGCCGGTTGCCGTTCCTCGGTCGTGGCCGGCGTCGGCGTGGGCCGGGGTGTGTAGGTCGGCTGGGGCCGGGGGGTATACGTCGGCGCCGGCGTGTCGGTGGGCGGAATCCACGTGGAGGTTGGCGGCAAGGTGGGGGTCGGCGGCACCGTTGGCTCGGCGGTGGGCAATAGCGCCTCGACGGTGGCGCCGTAATCGCTCTCCGGAGTTGCAACCGCCGTTTGGCTGCACGCCACCAGCGCCATACACAGAGCCAGCGCGGCGACTGCGAAAGAAACGCGCTTCAGAAAACAACGGGCTGTCATTCGCGTGACAGCGGGTTTGACGGGTATCCGGCGGTCCATATCGTTTCCACCGTAGCACAATTCGCGCCCGCCGGCACAGCGGCTGCGCCCGGTCATCAATGCGCCTGTCGGGTTCGAAATGTGCCTGTCGGGTTCAATGTGAACGCGTCGGACCGGGTAGCGTGGGGTTTGTTCTTGGTGTCGGCAGGCGCGGTGCGCCGGTGAGATATACTACCCGGCAAAGCAGGTGACCCGCCGGTCCCGCGGGTTTCGTGCCGAAGCGCCCATGGATCCGGATCCATAGCGGTCCCGCCGGCCCAGGAGATTTCAGTGGTTATATCCAACGACGACGATGCCATCCGCGAACGTACCGAGGCGTGGCGGCAACGCGCCAACGCCTCCCCAAGACGCAAGGGCGAGTACAAGACCATGAGCCAGTTGCCCGTCGAGCCGGTTTACGGGCCGACAGACCTGGCCGACACCGAATACCTGGCGGACATCGGGCTGCCCGGCGAGTATCCGTATCTCCGGGGCGTTCATCCCGCCGGTTATCGCTCCAGGCTGTGGACGATGCGGATGTTCGCCGGTTTTGGGCAACCCGCTGAAACCAACGAGCGGTTCCGATTCCTCCTCGACCAGGGGGAAACCGGACTCAGCGTCGCCTTTGACATGCCAACCCTGTACGGCTACGACCACGACGATGAGCGCGCACGCGGCGAGTTCGGGAAGTGCGGCGTGGCGGTGTCCTGCCTGGAAGATATGCAGACCGTCTTCGACGGCATTCCGCTGGACCAGGTCACCACTTCGATGACCATCAACAGCCCGGCCGCGATCATTTGGGCCATGTACATTGTCGCCGCGGAACGGCAGGGCGCGTCGATCGCCTCGCTGGGCGGAACGCTCCAGAACGACATCCTCAAGGAGTACATCGCTCAGAACGAATACATCTTCCCTCCGCATCCATCGATGCGGCTGGTTGTCGATACGGTCGAGTTCGCCAAGGACCGGATGCCCCGTTTCAACCCCATCAGCATCAGCGGCTACCATATCCGGGAGGCGGGCAGCAACGCCGTGCAGGAACTGGCTTTCACGCTGGCCGACGGGTTCGAATACGTGCGTCACTGCGTCGAGCGCGGCATGGCCGTGGACGACTTCGCGCCGCGCCTCAGTTTCTTCTTCAATGTGCACAACGACTTCTTCGAGGAGATCGCCAAGTTCCGGTCGGCCCGGCGCATCTGGGCTCGCGAGATGAAGGAAACCTTCGGCGCCGAATCCGAACGTTCCGTTTGGATGCGGTTCCATGCCCAGACTTCGGGAGCGTCACTGACCGCGCAGCAGCCCGAGAACAACGTCGTGCGCGTCTCCCTCCAGGCCCTCGCCGCAGTGCTGGGAGGCTGCCAGTCGCTGCATACCAACAGCAAGGATGAGGCCTGGGCGTTGCCGTCGGCCGACGCTGCCCTGCAGGCGCTACGCACCCAACAGATCATCGCCCACGAGACGGGAGTCACCGACACTGTGGACCCGCTGGGCGGCAGCTATTTCGTGGAAGCGCTCACCAACCAGGTGGAAGCCCGCGCCTACGAGTATTTCGAGCAGATCGACCGTCAGGGCGGCGTGATACCGGCGCTGGAGTCGGGCTATTTCCAACGGGAGATTGCGGATGCCGCCTACGTCTACCAGCGGGAAGAGGACCGCCGGGAGCGCATCACCGTGGGCGTGAACGAATACGTGGACGCCGAAGAAAGCCTGTCGATACCGATCCTCAGGGTGGACGAAGCGGGAGAGCAGCGTCACATTGCCCACCTGGACGAGATCAAACGCCGGCGCGACAATCGTGAGGTTGCCTCGCGTCTGCGCGACCTGGAATCGGCGGCCCGTCGATCCGGCAGCGACGCCAACCTGATGTACCCGCTGATTGAAGCCGTCAAGGCCGACGCAACTCTCGGCGAAATGATGGGCGTTTTCCGCGACGTGTTCGGCGAATACCAACCCACGTGGGGCTTTTAGTTCTTGCCAATCCACCCCATAGTGAGGATCAGCAAACATGACGTTTCTGCAAGATTACCGCGTTCTGGAGGGCAAATTTAAAGATCAGGTAGGGAAAGACAACGAACGCTTTGGGTGGAAGGGGAAGGAAGCAAGTTACTACCTGCCAACCGTCCCGCCCAAGGCTCCAGTCGATTTCGTACTAATCGTAATGGAGCCGTCCACCGCCAAGGCGGCCGACGGCACTCACAACGTAGCCAGGAATCTTTACGCTTCAGTGGGCGATTTTATTCTGCACTTCTGTGCGCGGAATTACTTATGCGAGGATGGGCAAAGCTACTTCATAAACGGATTTGGCAAAGGGAGCAATGTCTACTAACCATGCGAAAAGTACGGCCTCCAAGCGCTGGCCCGAATGGTATCCACTGCTAAGGCAAGAGCTCAAACTGGTGTCAAAACCTCGAGCTCCAGTAATTGCGGTTGGACGGCGGGTTTATAACTATCTGAAAAAACGTAGAACTCCGCGCCTCAGGGGATCGCTTCTTCACTTCTCCAATCAGGCGTCCTTAGCCAGAACCATAGCTCCGCAGCTCATGCCCCGGGATTATCAGGACTTCGCCAAAAATGTAGGAGCAAATGACCTTGTGTGCTTGGCGGAAGAGTTGACGCAGGCCAAGGCGTTCGACCGGCACCGCGACCAGATACTAGAAAATCTTCGGAAAACCGGGGGCACGGAATCCAGTAAGCAGCTGATGTTCACCTACAAAGCCTTGTTTGCCGTGATGAAGGGCGTAGCCCCCACGGAATAGAATCAATCGCGGCGCCAATTGAATTGGCGCCGCGATTTTTTGGGAAGTTTCGACGCAGCTATGCGATGGTTACCGCCTTGGCCTGCTTGGCGGTATCGATCACTCGCTGCTCGATGTTCTGGGGCACCTGTTCGTAGTGGCCGAATTCGAAACGGTACGAACCGCGCCCTCCGGTCATGGAACGCAGGTCCTGGGAGTACCGCTGCACCTCGGACTGCGGCACCTCAGCCTCAACGATGGTGTAGCGAGTCTCCGGAACCATGCCCAAAATGCGGCCGCGCTTGCTGTTGATGTCGCTGATGATGTCCCCGGTATAGTTCTCCGGCACCGTGACGTACAACTTCACGATGGGCTCCAGCAGGACTGGCGACGCCTTGGTCATGCCCTGGCGCAGCGCCTGGCTGCCGGCAATCTCGAAGGCGATGGGTTTGCCGTCCACCGGGTGGGTGCTGCCGTCGTAGAGCACTGCTTTGAGATCGACCACTGGGAATCCGGCCAACACGCCTTCTTTCAGCATGCTGACGACGCCCTTCTCCACGGCCGGAATGAGTTCCCGCGGCACCCGTCCTCCCACGACCTCGTTGCTGAATTCGAAGCCTTCGTCTCGGATCTTGGGCTCCAGCCGGAGCAGGACGTGGCCGTATTGGCCGCTGCCGCCGGTCTGCTTCTTGTGGCGGTATTCGGAATTGGTGATCTGCGTGATCGTCTCCCGGTAGGGTACGACGGGCAGCTTGACGTTCAGGCTGGCCCCGAACTTCCGCTTGATACGATCCAGAGCGACTTCGATCTGCACCTCGCCCAAACCGGTCAGCAGACTCTCGCTGGTTTCCGGATTGCGGGTGAACTGCAGGCTGGGGTCGTCCTCGACAATCCTGGCCAACGAGGTTGACATCTTGTCCAGGTCGGCCTGCGTGGCGGGAACCACCGCCAACGAGTAGAAGCCCTTGGGGAATTCGATGCCGGGGAGCGTGACGCGGGCATCGCTGGCGCACAGGGTGTTGCCCGTCAGGGTGGAGCCCAGCTTGCCGACGGCGGCAATGTCGCCGGCCACCACCTCGGCCACGTTTTCCTGGCTGTTGCCCTGCGGCAAGTAGAGCTGGCCCAGCCGCTCGGACTGGTTGCGGTTGACGTTGTAGATATCGCCGTTGGACTTCATCGACCCGCGGAACACGCGGAACATCGAGAGCTTGCCCACGAACGCGTCGGACGTCGTTTTGAACACCACCGCGGCAGCCGGACCCGCGCTGTCGGGCGCCATGTCGTCGTCGCCGGAGGTTTGAGGGCTGTCGGCCGGCGACGGCAGAAAGTCGCGCATCACCTGTACCAACTCGTTCACTCCAATGTCCTGCGTCGCGGAGGTGACCAGGATGGGAATGAGGTCGCCGCTAATAATGGCTTTGCGGGCGCCGGCGGTCACCTCTGCGGCGGTGATGTCTTCCCCTTCCAGGTACTTGTCAGCCAGTTCGTCGTCCGATTCCGCCACCGCTTCGATGAGGCGTTCGCGGGCCGCGTCGAAATCGCCGATGACGCCGGCGGGCATGTCGGCGGGCGGATCGATCACGCTGACCAGGCCGGTGAAGTCCTGGGCCTCGCCGACGGGTAATTGGAACGGTACGCAGCGGGTCCCGAATATGTCCTGCAGCTCCTGGACGCTGCGCTCAAAACTGGCGTTCTCCCGGTCCATCTTGTTCAGCACGAAGGCTACCGCCAGGCCCCGCTCCTGGGCCATGTTCCATCCCCGTTCGGTGCCGACGTCAACGCCCGTGGGAGCGGCCACCACTATCACAGCGGACTCGACCACCCTGACCGCGGCGACGGCTTCCCCGAGGAACTCGTCGTATCCAGGGGTGTCCAGCATGTTGATCTTGCTGTCGCCGTCATCCAACCGCAGCAGGCTCGTCTGGACGCTGGACGACCGCCGATTTTCCTCCGGTTCGTAGTCTGAAACGGTGGTGCCGTCCTCCACTCTCCCCAGGCGGTTTATCACCTGGGCATTGAACAACATGGTCTCGACAAGGGTGGTCTTGCCCGCGCCGCTATGGGAAAGCAGAGCGACGTTGCGGATGGTGCTGGCGGATACGGCCATGATGGTTCCCCTTTTGTTCCTGAAACAGGTTGCGGTTAGCCGATTGTAGCGAAATTATGTAGCCCGTTGCAACCGAGCGATTGCAAGGATAAAATGGAACGCCAGCGACCGGTAGTGAGCCGCTCCTCCAGCGACTACTTCCTTCGGGGCCGGCCGCTCCTTTTTTTGCCCAGCTCGCGAACTAGACCGGCAATCGCGACCGATTCCCTGGCGGATACCCTGGGTCGGCGGGCAGGCCATGGAGTCGCGCCGCCGCGCTGGCTAAAGCGTCGCACCGTTCGTTTTCCGCGTTCCCGCTGTGGCCTCGCACCCACCGGAAGTCGGTGGGATACCGTTCCAACAGGTCCAGCAGGCGCTCCCAAAGGTCGGGATTGACCGCTGCCTCGCGCTTGTTTCGCATCCAGCCGTTGCGTTGCCATTTGGCCGCCCACCCCTTGCTGACGGCGTCCACCACGTAGCGGGAGTCGGAGTGCAGGGTGACTTGGCACGGCTTGGTCAGGGCTTCCAGACCAACGATGGTAGCCAGCAACTCCATGCGATTGTTGGTCGTTAGCGAGTACCCGCCTGACATTTCCTTGCGCCGGCCCTGGTGGTCCAGGATGACGCCGTAGCCGCCCGGTCCCGGGTTGCCCAGGCAGGCGCCGTCGGTGTGGATGGTGACTTCGGTTGCCATCGGACTCAGCCCTGCGGATGCCGCGCCACCTGCCGCATAACAGCGCGTGTCAGGCCGACGCACTTGTGGCTGACTTTGGCCGCCCATTCGTCCTGGGCCGCGGCCTTCCAGGGATCGGACTCCAGCACTGACGGACTCTCGATCTGATACACGGCGGCGTACTTCGGGAAACCGTCCGCGTTGGTGGCCTCCACCCGGTATCGCGTGGCGCCCAGGACACCGCTGACCTCGCACAGGCCGGGCAGGTGGACGGTATCGTAGAGATGGTTGAACTGGTCCTCGTCGTCGGCCGGGATGTCGGTGCGCACGATGAAGATGTAGGGCGCCTCGGCAGTTGCGTCGCCCGCGTCGGAGGTCCGCTTCAGCATGGTGTGGGTGCGATTGGTGGCGTGGGGCCGGATCTTGGTCGCCCAATCGCCTTTCTCGCCTTCGACGCGCCAACCCTCGGAGTAAGGAACCCCAGGTTCGTCGATGGCGTAAAGGGCGGCATACTTGGCGAACTGGTTGGCGTTGCTCGACTCCAGTGCATACCGGTTGCAGGTATGCACGCCCGGCGCCTGGCACAGGTACTTGGCGTGCTCGGTGTCGTACACACGGTTGAACTCGGCCTCCCAATCGGCCGGAATATCCATCTGAACGAAGTAAGCGTAATCGGCTGCCATGTTGGTACCTCCGTGTTCCTGGTCAGTGGGGTTAGTCAAATCAGTACGTCAGCGCGTCCGCCGTCTCGTCCGGCAGCTCCACCTGCAGGGCCTGCAGGGCGTGGGCCAGCCCGTGGTAATAGGACACCACCACCAGCAGGTCGACAATTCCCGCGTCGCCGATGATCCCCTGCACCGCTTCAAACGACGCGTCCGAGACGCGATGCTGGCGCAGCAGTTCGATCACGAAGCCGGAAACGGCGGCATCGTCGCCGGATAAGCCGTTGGGTGACCGGTACTCGTGGATGGCTGAGATCTCGGCTTCGCTCAGCCCGGCGTTCCGCGCCGCCGGCTGGTTCACCGTCCAGACGTAGTGCCCGCAGGCTTCCCGCGCCGCCGTCAGGATGGCAACGGCCTTGACCCGGGGAGGCAGCGGCGTCTGGAAGCGGACGTAGCCGCCGAGGTGAGCGAAGTTGCTCGCCGCCTGCGGGTTGTTCAGGATCGCGGCGTAGTTGCGCTGCACGCCGCCGCGCGAGGTTTCGATATCATCCCACACCGCCTGTCCGGCGGCGTCCATATTTTCCCTGGTGGCGAAGGGTACGCGAGCCATGATAGTGGCCTCCTTGTCTGCTTTTCGATTAGAAATGCCGGCGGCGATTGGCAACCGCCGCCGGCTCAAAGACGCTGTGATGTACCCGGAACTTAGCTGCCGTTGTTGTCCCAGAGTTCTTCCAGGATGGCGCCGGGCGACATCGGCAGATTTTCCATGCGGATGCCGATGGCGTTGTGGATGGCATTGGCGATGGCAGCCATTGGAGGAACGATGGGCACTTCGCCCACGCCACGCACTCCGTAGGGATGGCCCGGGTTGGCCTTTTCCACGATGACCGTGTCGATCATGGGCAGGTCCAGGCTGGTCGGCATCCGGTAGTCCAGGAAGCTGGAGTTGACCATGTCGCCGGAGTCGTTCATGAAGTACTCTTCGTTGAGCGCCCAGCCGATGCCCTGGACGGCGCCGCCCTGCATCTGGCCTTCCACGTAGCTCGGGTGGATCGCCTTGCCCGCGTCCTGCACCACCGTGTACCGCAGAATTTCCACCTTGCCGGTGTCCCGATCAACCTCGACGTCCACCAGGTGGGTGCCGAATGCGCCGCCCTCTCCGCCGGGGCTCACGCTCACCTGCGCGGAAATGGGGCCGCCCGTCCGCGCCAGTTGCGAGGACAGTTCCTTGAAGGACATCTGCAGGTCTTCATCGGAGTTGTGCTTGAAAATGCCGTCAGCGAGGTCGATTTCCGACGCGTCCTTGTCCCAGATCTGGGCGGCGCGGTCGGTCATCTTGCGCTTGATTTCCTGGGCGCACTCGTAGGCGGCCCAACCGGTCGCGAACGTCGTGCGGCTGCCGCCGGTCAGGAAGGTGTAGCCCACCGCGTCGGTGTCGCCGACGTTGGGGCGCACGTCTTCGGCGGGGATGCCCAGAACCTCGGCCCGCCTGCATCGCGATTGACGCGCGGGAACCGCCGATGTCCGTCGATCCTTCCACCAGGCCGATGGTGCCGTCGGCGTTGACGCTGATGCTGGCGCTGGACGCCAACCCAATATTCATCCAGTAGCCGCTGGCCACGCCGCGGCCACGGTTGGGACCGGACAACTCCGACTTGTAGTGGTCGGTGTCCTTTGCCGCTTCGAGGGTTTCAACGTTGCCGATCACGCGGAACTGCGGCCCGTCGACTCTCCGGCTGCCTTCCGTGCTGGCGTTCTTCAGGCGGAACTCCAGCGGATCCATTCCGCACTTTGCGGCCAATTCGTCCACGACCTGCTCGCCTCCGAAGGCGGAAATCGGGGCCCCTGGAGCGCGGTACGCGAAGGACCGTGGCTTGTTGGTGACCACGTCATAGCCCTCAACCCGCTGATTGGCGAGGTCGTACGGCGAGAATACGCACTGGGCGCCGGCCGTCACCGGCGAAGCCCCGGGAAATGCGCCCGCCTCGTAGCAAAGGACCGCGTCGGCTGCGACCAGCGTGCCGTCGCTCTTGGCGCCCATCTTGATCTTGACCCAGGCGCCCGACGTGGGGCCGGTGGCCTCAAAGGTCTCGGTGCGGCTCATCTGCATCTTGACCGGACGGCCGGTCTTCTTCGAAAGCAGCGCGGCTAACGGCTCCAGGTACAGCGGAATCTTCCCGCCGAACCCGCCGCCGATTTCCATGGGCACGACCTTGACGCGCGAAACCGGTAGTTCCAGTACGCTGGCAAGGTTGTCGCGGGCCACGAATGCGCCCTGCGTGCTCGTCCAAACCGTCAGGTAGCCGTCCGCATTCCAGAAAGCGGAGGCATTCTGGGGCTCGATGTAGCCCTGGTGCACGGTGCGCGTGTTGAATTCGCGTTCGATCACGAAGTCAGCCTCCGCGAACGCCGTTTCCACGTCGCCCTGTTCGTACACGAACCTGTTGGAGATGTTGCTGTGCTTGTCGGTGTCTTCGCCGAACTCCGTCGTGGTCATGTCCTCGTGGAGCAATTCCGCGTCGTCTTTCATGGCGTCCAGCACGGTGGTGCTGGCCCGTAGGACTTCGTAGTCCACCTTAATCAGCCCGGCCGCTTCTTCCGCGACGTGCGCTGAGTCGGCTGCCACGGCCGCGATGGGGTGCCCGCGGAACAGGGCCTTGCCCGCTGCCAGGATGTTGTTGCTCGCCGATCGCGCGGACATCGGGGGATTTTCCTTGCCGGCAATGGGAAGATCGGCGCCGGTCACCACGGCTTGCACGCCAGGCAACGCTTCGGCGGCGGAGGTGTCGATGGACTTGATCCGCGCGTGGGCGTGGGGGCTCCGCAGAACCTTGCCGAAGAGCATTCCGCTCATCTCAAAGTCCGCGCCGTATTTGGCCCGCCCTGTCACCTTGTCGGCGCCGTCGTGGCGAATAGGCCGCGTGCCGACGACCTTATAGTTGGTGTTTGAAAGCACGATGTTGGTCATAAGTCGCCTCGCTGCTGGTAGTAATTACGGCCCGATTTTAGCACAGCCCCTACCGTAGTCCCAACCCCGGCGGCGGTTGCACAGGCCCGACCAAATTCATCGCCAGCGCGGCGCGGCAATCTCGGCAGATCGGAGAGCCCAGGCGGGCGCGTCCAAGGTCATTGCGACCGCAGCCTGGCAATCTCGAAGGCTCGGAAAACACGTCTGGGCATGGTAGGTCAGTCCCGGAACTGACTGCCTCGGAACTGACTGCCAGTCGATATGCTCCCCACGATGAAAGACCAGTTTGAAAAGGCGCTGGCCGTAACGGGACGCGTCCCACCGCCGGCACGTGCGTTCGGTATCTGCGATGCGTCCGGTAAAGGAAGACGCGACCCTCCCCGGATACCCGGCGCGGCGGTCGGTCAGGTCAATGGCAGGGGCGGCTGCCACAGCTTGCTCGTTTGGTTGACGGTGATGGAATCAACCCACTTCACCCAGTCGTAGCCTCGCTTGTGCGGTTCTACCATTCGCGCGGGGAAGCCGTGCCCGGCGGAAAGCGGTTCGCCGTCCACCCGGCTGGCCAGCAACGCCCGGTCGGCTTCTTCGAGAGAGTACCTGCGGAAGTATCCCGTCCGTGACCGGATCGTAATGCTGCCCGCGCCGGGTTTGAGCCTGGCGCGCGCCAGCAACCGCCCGATCGGCACACCCTCCCACTCGCGGGTGGTTTGCCAGCCTCCGGTGCAGTCCAGCGTCGCGGTGAGCTTGTCGTCCCAGGCTTGCAGCTCGGCCAGTCCGATACGGAACGGCGACTCCACGTGGCCTTCGATGCTGAGGTTCCACGTCGATCCGTCGATGCCGGGCACCTTGTCGTTGAGCCACATGGTCACCGGAAAATCGGCGCCGGTTTCCGGATATGACCCGGTGAACCGTCGCTGGGCGCCCGGGCCGGTTGCCAGCACTCCCGCCAACTCCGCGGTGCGCCACGCCAGGAAACCTGCCAGCGCCAGTCCAACGACCCGCAGGACGTGCCGGCGGTCAACCAGGTAGCGGGTGCGCAGGCTGATCCGGTGCCGAAACGAATGCCACAGCAGCAGGGGGATCAGCATCCACGCCAGGTTCATGTGAATGGTCGTCCCGGAAAAGCCCATCCAGGCGTAGGCGCCCAGATGGCTCCACGCCAGTCCCAGGCCGATGACGATCAGCAGCCCAGCCAACAACGTGATCGACCACAGCATCGTCCGCAGCGAGCCGCGCCAGTTGCTCTTGGTTCGCATCGACCCGAGGATGTTGCGCGACTTCCAGGCAAAGAGCGCGAGGATGGCGAACCCGAAGATCCGGTGCAGGTGCATCGCCCCGATCCACTCCGCGTTCGAGTGGGTGAGGCCCAGGTACCCGGTCACCAGTTCGGCGGTGAACAGGGCGATGAGCGCGATGTTGGCCCACGGGAAACGCATCGGGCATCACACCTCTCCGGTTCCCGACCGGCGACGCTGGTCCCAGCCCCAGAGGATCACGATAGCCGACAGGTCCAGGTGCAGCATGATGGAAATCCACGCTGTGAACCAGTGATTGTCCCCAAAGATGGTCATGCCCAAAATCAATCGTGCCGCCATGATCGCGAAATAGGCGAACCCGATCAACATCACGCAGCGGCCGGCGGTTGGACCCAGCACCCGCCGACGCCGGACCATTCCTCGCATGACGGCTACCAGCAGTATCAGGATCACGATCTGGCACGCCAGCAGCGCCGGGTAAGGAATGCCGCTGCCTTGCCAGGCCTCAAACGGGGGCAGGAACGTCTGCGGAAACCACCGCTGGATTGCCTGCCCCACGACCCGGAGCAGGAACACGACGGAAAGCGCGGCCACCGCGCCGGCCATCAGGCGCTCGTAACGGTAGGTCGCTTGCACTATGCGTCGCCGGCATACGCCCGGTACCAGTCGTTGGAGAACACGTTGCCCGGATCATGGCGCCGCTTTCGGGCCACAAACTCCGGAAACTGCGGGTAGCACGCTGCCAACTGATCGGCCGTGGCGAATTTGTTGTAGGTGAGAAAATAGCTGCCGTCCCGTTCGCGGGCGAGGTCAATCAGCGTCCGCAGGGCATCGCCAGCGCGTTGGAAACCGGCCGGCTCGTGGTCCACGTGCAGGTTGAACACGATACACGCGTAGGGTTGCCTTGCCCAGTTGAGTACCGTTTCGTCGTCACGCTCGATGAGGCGTATGGTGCCGTAGATCACGTTGGCTTCCTGCCGCCGCAATTCCGCGCCCGCCGCGGCCATGAACCCTTCCAATTCTGCCAGCGGCACGTACAACTCGGTGATCGTCTCGGAACCCGGGACGCTGCGCCCCAGCCGTTGGTCGAGTTCATGGTGGTAGTGGTCGATGTACTGGCTCAGCTGGAAGGTGTCGCTGTCGTATACCTGGCCGTCGGTGCTCCGGTAAAAACCGGCATATTCGTCGAAGGCGCGGGCCTTGTCGGCATGGGACCAGTACAACAGTTGCCGCCAGGCGGCGTCAGTGAGCATATGTTGCGGCGGCGCGGCTGTGCGGGCGTCTTCCGCGTCAACCGGTTGGTAGCAGGACAGTACGCCGTCTCTGAGGAAGCCGGGCGAATTCTCGTCGGTGCGGTATTGAAAATCGCCGTAGGTGAAGCCGTCCGCGATGCGCTCTTTGAACCGGGCTTCCAGTCTGTCGATCGTGGTGACTTCCACCACCCGGCGCACGCTGTGGGCCGGCATGAGGCGCAGATCGACGGTAGCAATCACGCCGAACAGCCCGTATCCGCCGATGGCCAGGCGGAACCGGTCGGCGTGTTCGTTCCGGTCGCACCGGATCAGGTTTCCGTCGGCGTCGATCAGTTCAAACGCGTCCACGTCCTGGACGATGGGTCGATAGGTGAGCCCCCGACCGTGGCCATTGGCCGCCAGCGCGCCGCCGATGCTGAGCCGGTCCGCGCCGGTCTGCTTTTGCACGATGCTCCAGCGCCGCTCCGCATTCCGCTGCAGGTCGCGGAGGCCGGATACCAGTTCCGACCACATGATCCCCGCCTCCACGGTGACGATTCCCCGTTCCGCGTCCAGCCCCACGATGCGGTTCAAACGCCCCATGTCCAGCAGCGTTCCGCCGGATAGAAATTGTTGACCGCCCATGGAATGGCGGCCGCCGGCTATGCTCAGGCTATGCCCGGCGTCGCGAACTCCGGCCACCGCCTGCTGGGCCTCCGCGACGGAATTGGGCGCGATGACCTCCCCCACCTCCGTTGCGTTCAGCTGAGAATGAATGTCGTTGACCGTCGTGGGTTGAGTGGTTTGCATCGTTCGCGTCCTTGGTCTTTCTGGTGGTGGAGTGGGCTGTCTGTACTACGTGCGCGGGACCCGCCCGGATCCGCCTCCGTGATACACTCCCGTCGCGTTGGACGGCGCGTCTCTGAGCCTCCAACGGGCACCTTAGAATAGGCGGATGTTGAGAATGCAGCCACTTTCGGACTTGCGGGTTTTGGCCGTTACCGTGTTCCTCGCCGGACCCTTCCTGAGCATGACCCTGGCGCGGTTGGGCGCGGAGGTAATCAAGATCGAGATACCCGGCCGGGGCGATCCGGTACGCGGCAACGGACCCTTCGCCGGCCCCGACGGTATTCACTCCGAACAGCGAACCGAAAAGCACATCGCCACCCGTTTCCTGAAGCGCAGCCAGGGCGTCAAGAGCGTGACCCTGGACCTGAAAAACCCGCGCGGTCGGGAACTGTTTCTCGACATGGCGAAGCAATCCGACGTGGTGCTGGAAAACCTGGCGCCCGGCTCCATGACCCGGTTGGGCCTGAGCTACCAGGACGTGGCTGCCGTGAATCCCGGCGTCATCTACGCCAGCATCTCCGGCTACGGCCAGACCGGCCCGTATGCCCAACAGCCGGCCCACGACCCGCAGATCCAGGGCATGAGCGGACTGATGGACATCAACGGCGAACCCGACGGCCCGCCAACTCGCGTGGGTTTCTACATCGGCGACCTGGTTACCCCCATGTTCGCGTCGACGGCCATCCTGGCCGCCCTGCGCGAAAAGGAACGCACCGGCGAGGGAACCTACCTCGACGTCTCGATGATGGACACCCTCACGTCGCTGATGTTGATGGAGAATCTCGAGGAGGACCTGGCGGCCGGCATCCCCCTGCGCGCCGGGAACAACAGTCGCAGCGGCCCAACCGGCCAGTACCAGGCCAGCGACGGCGCGATCATCATCACCGCCGCCAGCGACGACCAGTGGCGCCGCCTGTGCAACGCGATCGGCACGCCGGACCTCATCGCGGACGACCGGTTTGCCCGCTACCAGGTCAGATCGGAGAACGCCGCCGCCGCCCGCGCCGAAGTCCAGGCGCGCGTCGGTGAAATGACCCGCGCCGAAGCCCTCGACCTTCTCTCCGCCGGCGACGTGCCGTGCGCTCCGGTCCGGACGGTGCCGGAAATCCTGGCTGACGACCACTTCCGTGATCGCGGCGCGTTACGAACCATGCGTAACGCCGCCTTCAACGGCGAGGTGGACGAGGTGGTCGCCGGCTTCCCGGTGTTGTTTGACGGCCAGCCGCTGCCCGACGTTCCGGGCGCGCCGTCCCTGGGAATGCACAACTCCGAAGTCCTCGGCCAACTGTGCGGCGTAGACGCGCCCGGACTGGAGCAACTGAAACGGGACGGCGTCATCTAGCCCGTTCTCGACAGCGGGACATCG